TGGTCAGGCCAGCCCAGCGCCTGTGGCCTATCTCTCAGGCCAGGCCAGACCCCAGAGAATAGGCCATTGTTTCCATCCCTCAGCCTATTTCCTGCCCCCCAGCCCTCTCCACGCCACCTCCTCACAATGAGAACAAAAGTCTCCTGGTAGACCCCTGCCCACCCTTCCATCCAGGCCCAGTGACAATGACGGTGGCTCGGCCCAGCCCTGCCCAGCCCTTGGAGCCCAGGCCCATCACCCACGTCCCATAACTCGCTGGACAATGGGATCACCTGGCCCTGACCCTCTCTGCTGCTTCTCCAGGCGCCTCGGCTCCCCGCTGGCTCCGTCCCTCTGTCCATCCATCTGCATGTCCTCCCGGGGAGGGGCAGGAGGAACTGGACCCACATCCTTCCTCAGCCACCCTGGAGAAAGCTGGCCGCCCTGGTGGGGGTGGGGGCCCTCTCGCCGCCTTTTTCCTGCAGACCAGAGATGGAGCAGCCGGAGCCTGGCGGTCTAGGAGGCTCGGCCTCAGAACGCTGTCCCTTGGCCTGGAATCCCAGGGGTGCTTCTGGCCCTGACTCCCACAGGGAGCTGGCCCACTCTGGGGCCCCCACAATTCCCAGGAGATTGACTCCCTCCTGCTCCCCAGACCCCTTCACACCTGGACCTCCAGCCACAGCAGGGTGAGACACAGGGACTCCGGCGCCATCCCCGTATGCCCCAGCAAGGCCCCTGCTCCTGAGGTCTCAGGCATGGCCCACTGGCACCCGGGGGCCACAGAAAGCCTGCCTGGCCCGCATGGCCTCTGCCTGCCCAGCCTCCTCCTGGTAGCCCTCAGGAAACCCCTCCATCTCCCTGCCCTGCTGGTCCCCTTAGGCTGGATGCTGCACACAGTAAGCGCCCAGCTCGCCCCGACAAGCCTGGCCCTCTCTGGGCCTCAGTGTCCCCAGAAGCCTTCAGAGGCCCTGAGACTCCCAGGTGTCAGCTCTCGGGGATCCAGGGTGGGCGAAGGGCACCAGAAGGCGGAAGTGCTTGCCAGGAGGGTCCCCCTCTCCTGGCTTCCTCAGAGCAATCTCGGCCTCGGGGTCAGCAAAGGGGAAAGGTCAGCGGCTAATAAGAAATGCCCCAAGGACTCAGAGTGGCCCCAGGCACTGAGGGTCCCCTTACCCCCGCCCACCCCTCCCCCGAGCTTGGCACTCAGTGCTTCTCTGGTCCATTCTCCACAGGAGACCCTCCCGGCTCACAAACCACCTCGGCTCTCCCCATCCTCATCGCCACTGCTGTGCTGAAGCTGCTTTCCCAAAATACAAGGCCGCCTTCTCCAGGAAGCCTCCCCAGACCGCCCGCCTTCCAAAGCTCTTCTAGCCCTTCAGCCCCACCCCGCCCTGGCGTCAGCACTTCCCACCCATCCCGGAGCCTCCCAGGAGCAGAGGCCACATCCCTCAGCCTAGCGCTTTTCCACAAATCCTAGGTGAAACTCTCCTGGGGAGAGGACCTCACTCCCAGTGACAGCAGCCGCCCTGCCTTGACCATTAGTGGCAGGACAGGTGGTGGATTTTTCTCGGTGGCACCAAGGGTTGAACTCAAGGCCTCGCACAGGCCAGGCACAAGTGCTCTGCCACCCAGCTGCATCCCAGCTCCAGGCTCAGCATAGACGGCAACTGAGGCCACCTCGGCAAGGGGCGCGTGTGTCCAAGGTCCGCTTGCTAAAGCTGCGGCAAAGCTGGGATTTGCACTTGGGTTTGTCTGAGGCGGAGTGTATGCAGGGTCACAGAAAGGACCGGAAGGGGAAAGGGAGGGGAGTGGGTGAGTACACGGGTGGACAGGGTTACAGTGTGGACAGACGGAGGGACGCATGAGGCAGGGGGTGAGGCCTTGGTGACTTGTTCCGGGTGGGTGTGGGTCACACTGAGTGGATGAGTGGGTGGACCAGAGCTGAGGGCTGCTGGGTCAGGGGATATACAAGGTGACACAGGGTAGATGGATGCATCGGCAATGGCGTCTGTAGATGGACAGACTGCTGGACACTCACAAGACAGAAGACCGGAAAGACCAACCAGTAGGTCGAGGAGCAGATGCAGAACTGACCTAAAGCCCAGCCCGATTTGGGGTGCAAAGGTGCATGTGCCTTCGGAAGGAAGCTTCTTGGGGATGGGGCTGATAGAGGAGACTACGCCAGCTCACTCAGCCCCAGGTTCCGGATCCAAACCTCCCTGGATGCCAGGAGGCCGCCCTGGCATCCCCGGGTCCCCAAAGTAGGACACACCCCTCTCGGACTGTGCCTCCCCAGCTCGGAGAACAAGTCCTGCGCTGTGCTGTGTCCTCCTCTCAAATCCCCCCTCAGCCCCAGCCTGCAGGGCAGAGGTGAGGGGCAGCTCCTGAACCCCAGGGGCCCGTCTCACCAGCAGCTCCTTTGCCCAGCTGGGAGGCATTTGTTCTGCCTCCTGCATGGTGATTAGGCTCGGCCAGGGTTAACTCCTGCACTGCTGCCTCAGGGAGAAGAATGGAGAGGGCAGGAAAGAAGGAGAGGAAAAAGAATGTGCGAAGAAGGGGTGCCCACCCTGCACCCTTCTAAGGGATACGGAGATCCTTCTTTTTCCCGAGGAATGAGCTATGGAATCCTTACATCAGGAGTGCAGCCAGGCTGGAGGTTGTGACTTGCAGGCAGACTGACTCCTATTAGGGATAGGTGTGAGTAAAAGTAGGCGCTTCTCAGCCTCAGTTTTTCCATCTGTAAAATAGGGCAGCAATTGAGGGCTCACAGACAAGCCACACATGCGCCATAGGAAACAAAGTCGGAAGGTCTTCAGCCACCAGTACAGGGCCCCAAAGGACAGAACAAACACGGGGCAGCTTGTAACCACTTCGGCCAAGGCTCCCTCCCCTGCTGCCTCTCCGGGGCTTGCAGCAATCCCTCCACCCGTAAATGCCCGCACTGACACCCCTATACCCACTCTCCAGGGACAAACTTGAGGCTCAGAGAGTCTCATGAGCAGCCCCTGGGCTGGGGTTGAAGCTCAGGGCCTCTGCTCCAGGGACCCTGTGACTAGAATGATGTGTCCTTCACTGTCCAGCCAGCTCACCCAGGAGAGTGCAAGCAGCGCTATCGGTAATCACCCCGCAACAGGAATTGTCCTGGGCACACTGAGGAGTATGGATCCTCCTGCCAAGCTTGGGGCAAAGCAAGTCCCTTTACTTCTTGGCCACATGGACATGATGACAGTATTGTCCCTGTGGGGCTCTCCAAAGGATCAAATGAGGTAACGTGTGTGAGCTGCTACAGGGCCGGGTAGGCTGTCGGTGCTCCATAAAAGCTGGTTGTGACTAACGCTATTAATGGCGGTGACCATGGTGCCACGAGTCCCTGGCTCCATTGGTGCCCTTCAAGTCCATTCTTTGATCCCAGCCAGAGCACCTGCGTGCGCGGGTGGCAAATGCCTATAATCCCAGCGCTAGGGCAGCTGAGGCAGGGGGATCACCACTTCCAGGCTTTCCATGCCTGCTGCGGGGAGCCCAGCCACCCCGCAGCTACCTGGCTCAGGGTTGAGCCCCCAAGATCTGGTCATTCTTCCTTGACACAGCCCAGAGCCACCTTGGTCCACTTCCCTCCTCCTGGCCGATGGTTTTCAGTGCCTTAAAAACATGGTGACACTGCTTCCCTTCTCCAGGGCCTCCCCCAGGAAAACATGTCTGATCCACCCACTGGGTCTCAATCCTTATGCTCTGCCACCAGAGCAAATGCTGTGATGCTCTGTGCCTCAATTTCCTCAATCGTCCAGCGGGTGAAATAAGCTTCCTCTGGGTGACCAACAGAAGGACTCGGAGAGCCGTGGAGGAGGTGCAGCCCCTGTGCACAGTGAAGACCTCATTTCCCCACCTGCGTGTCCCCCAGACCCCTTCCCCAGCCAGGACAATGCCATGTCACCTCCTCCAGTCACCCCTGCCCCTCCCCACCCCTGCAAGCTCTGTTAGAGGCCTCTCTATGCCACTTCGGCCTCCAGGACTTCCTGATGTCCCCAAGGAGTTCTTGGTCAGAAGGGAAAAGTCAGGGTGCATAAGTCAAGCATGGCAGTGCACACCTGTGGTCCCAGCACTCGGGAGGCCGAGGCAGGAGAATCATCTTAAGTTTGAGGCCAACCTGGGCTACATAGTGAAACCCTGTTTCAAAGAACGAAAAAATCAAAACAGAAGTCAGGCTGCCTGACAAACCAGGCAGGGGACAGAGATCATCTCCTTCCTTGAGGACAGCATGGGATCCTGGCCATAGCCCCAACCCTAAGCCTAACTCTGCCCCCCATGGTGGGAGGCTCAGAAGTCTTTTGAAGTGTGACCTCATTCCCAGTTCAGCGACCCTCTTTATACTAACAGGGCAGAGAGCCTTTAGCACTGCAACATCTGACACCTGCTTTGATGATCTGAAGGGGAAACTGAGGCACAAAAAGACTAAGTAGAGATGGTGGCTGGCAAGGAATCCAGGCTGTGTAACTTTGTGGTCCACAGGCTTGACCACCACACCACATCACTCCAAAAGTGACCTGCCAGGCGTCTGTGCCCAGGGTAGCTCGGTGCACCACCGGCACCCAGGGCCTGTACAGTATTCGGTGGAAAGGACAGTGGATTTGGGAGAAAGGAAGGCGCAGCCTGCACTTATAAAATTCAAGAGCTAAAGAAGTCTCAGGGCAGTCCAGACCTCCAAATCGAGATTACCCGTTCCCCAAATTGCGCAGAGAATGCCAGGAGTGTCCAGCCAGAGTTACAGATCCAGACTCCCCGGGCACGTGAGGGCCCCGGGGGAGGGGCGAACACTAGAGGGGCACAAGTCGCCTCCCCTGGACGGCAGCCCCGCACCAGGCCATCCGCGCGCCCCGATCTCGCTGCCCGGGCGGTGGAGGAGCACCGGGCCTGGCACCGTGCGCCCTGCACTGCAGCCCTCCCGGGCGCGCGGCGCGGCGCAGCGTGGACCGGGCCGGGAGGGGGCGCGGCGGGGCCGCGGGCGGGAGCCCAGGGGCGGGCGGAGGGAGGGCGCCCACACCCCGCCCCCGCCCCGGATCCGCCGCGGAGAGCGCGGCCCGCGCGGCGCAGACCGGCCCGGCCACTCTCGGGGCTGGCAGCCAGGACGCGTCGCCGGCCGCGGAGTGCGCCCGGGACCCTCGCCCGGGTCGCCGCCCGAGGAGGTAACAGCGGGGTCCGGGGGCGCAGGAGGGGCGCTGCTGGGGACGCGCGCTGGGGCTCCGCACCCTCCGAGGCGCGCGGGCGGGCGGGACGTGGCGGGGACGCGGCCGGGCGGGGAGGCGCGCCCCGGGCCAGCGCCGAGGCCCGAACGCCCCGACGCGCTGAGAGGTCCCGGGCGTCTCGGCCGGAGGGCGAAGCGGGGCAGAGGATGGGGGGGGCGGCCAGCCAGCGCAGCGAAAGTGGGGTGAGCAGAGGGCTGGCCGAGCTCCTTCCTGCGCGGGGAGAGAAGCAAAGCACGGGAAAGGGGGCGCTGGGACGGCTGCCGGGCCCCTCGGTGGACCGGGAGCGGGAAGTTGGGGTGGGGGTGGCCCAGCACCCTGCCCCCTCCCCAGCCGCCACATTCCAGACCGGAGCAGCGGGATGAGGTCATCCCGTCCGGTTCCCCTCCAGCCCCGTCCACCGCCAGCCAGGCGACCCTCCACTCCCAACCCCCCCATCCCCGGGGAAGTTTTATGGCCAAGTCCTTCCCGGACTTCCCCTGCCCGCGTTCCAGATTGTGCTTAGCCGTACTCTGCAAGAACACCAAGTCTGAAGCCCATTTCTAGATCGGGAAACTGAGGCTCAGGGAGGCAAAGAAACTGCCAGGGAGACCACAGCGACAGAAACGTGGCTGTAGGACCGGCCCCCAGCCCCAGGGGAGGGCTGATTGAGCTCAAATTTGTGGTGATGGGGCAAAAGGCCTCTCCTTCCCCTTCCCCAATGGCCTCATGTTCCCCTCCTCCTGCTGCCTCAGAATCCAAGAGGCTGGCCGAGCAGCCAGACTGCAAAGAGCTTGCTGGCCCTTTCTGGCCTCAGTTTCCCTTGTCTTCCAACTTGGTGGCTGGACGTTTGGGAAGCCCCAAACTCAGCTGTCATGGGAGTGTCGGGCTCAATGCCCTCGGGAAGGCCTGCAGGATGAGACGTGGCACTGGGGGCCCAGGGTGCAGCCCTCGGGGGGGGGGGGTCTCCAGCATGGGGCTGTGAAGCCCCCAACCGCAGTCCTCCACTGCGAGCAGCCCCTGGCCTCCGACCTCAGACCTCAGGCGGTTCCATTCCAGGCCCTGTTGGCCACTGCCAGTGCAGCCCCACCACCAGCGCTAATCTCAGGTCCTTACTGTTACCGCCTCTGAGTGAGCTCTGACCACAAGCCTGACCCTGACATCCTCTGCAGGGTGAGCAGACGGGCTCTGGGGACTGCATGGTGATCTCTGTGCCCAGGTCACAGACACTCTGAGTCCCAGAGCTGAGTGTCCTGCCCCCCAGGCCTGCTCTCCTGTGCTGGGCAGCCAGCTTCAGATATCTCCAGCACCTCTCGAAGGCAGGCTTCACCCCAACCCTGGACGTTCACTGCAGGTATTGGTAGAAACCCAGGCAGGTTCTTAGACACTTCTTTTTTTTTTTTTTTTTTTTCTGTGATCGGTGAAATTAAATTGGCTTCTGAGCCTCATTTTTCCTATCTGTAAAATGGGGGTAAGGCGCATTAACAGTGATATTCCTGGGCTGGTGAGAGGAAGAAACCTCAGTGGAGCGCAGTTGATGGCCTGTAGTCAAGTGCCAAATGGCTGTCACTAGGGGTCCCTGGAGTGAGACATTAGCCTAGAGGCATTGGATTTGAACTCCGGCTGCCTTGCTCCAGAATCAGAGATCACCCACCTCTTCCACCCTTTCTTTGTCCCCTGGGAGGGACCTGCCTACCACGATGATCCTGTTTGCCACCCAGGAGACCTGTGGCAGGATCTCTTCTTAGTGGACAGAGGGGAGGGTGCTGTTTGCAGATGGGCAGAGGCGTTGGGAGGTGAGGACAGAGCCCCAAGTCGGAGTAGCCATGGGGTTGAGGGGGCGGGAGTGGATTTTGCTGGGAGGATGGGCCCTCTGAGACGTCAGGGAGTTGGGAATGAAGTGGGTGGGGCCACGTGGCACACTGGGCTGGAGCTGACCCACACCGGGCAAAATTGCATTAACGCCTACCCGAGCCCCTTCCCCAGAGTCCTCCTTAGTCCCTGGAGAGCAGGGAAACCCCTTCCCGCGGTGTTCCTGCCACATGACCTTGGGCAAGTCTCCTCCCTCTGAACCCCAGCCCTTCCTGTGAAATGGGCCGGCTCCCCCAGCCTTGAGGGGCTGTTGAAGAATCGGGTGACATCATGCAGTGGTTGGCCAACTGCTGGTGGCTTCATAAGTTCAGCAAACATTCCACGAGGACCTCGCCGCGCTGGGCCGGGGGTGCCGGGGAAAAGGATGATTCAGAAGCCACGCCCCCGGGGCGGGGCGACGGCTGGGGGCGGGTCCGCTGGTGAGGAGGAAGAGAATGCAGTCGGCAAACAAAGCCAGCTTTGTCCTATAGAGTCTTTGTTTTTATCTTGTTATTTAACCTATTTTGAATTTCAAATAAAATTAGAAGGACAGGATTGAGTTTTTTTACACTTGGAGGTGGTGGCGGCGGTTTAGGGGGAAAAATGGTTGTGACTTCTGTCTAGGTGTTCCTGTTAAAGGTCACTGTCAGCTTTTAATCAGCCCAGGTCCGGGGTGTGTGGAAGTGGGTGACTTGGCCAAGGTCACGCTGAGAGGACACCGAGTCCCTGACCTATCCCCACCCCTCTGGGGGCCGCGGAGAGCGGTGGCCCTGTGGTGAGAGGGTTATCACGGAGCTTGGTGACCGAGCTGGTGTTGACGTCGGCACTTGCCGTGTTCAGAGCCCTGTCGGGTGCAAAAGGCAGGCAGGAAAATCCAGGCCCTGCCCTGCCTTCAAAGTGTGCGGCCGACTGGAGACAGACAGGGCTCCGAAAGCCAGCCCAGGGCTCCTGTGAGTCACGGGGCCTGGGTTCAGGTTTCAGCTAGCTCTAGATGCGACCTCAATCAAGCTTGGCCCTCGATGAGCTGCTGGAAAAGCAGAGGCCAGCCTAGACTTACTTTTATTAATTTTTGTTTCTTTGGTACTAGGAATTAAACCCAGGACCTCCACACTGACCCGCATCCCCAGCCCTTTTTTATTTTTAATTTTGAGACAGGGTCTCGCTAAGTCACAGAGTGAACCAGGCTGAGCTCCAACGTGCAATCTTCCTGCCTCAGCCTCCCAGGGTAGTGGGATTACGGGTGTCGTGCGTACCACTGCACCCTGCTTAGCCTGAACTTTACCTAGCATAATATCCTCAAGAAAGAGGTCACATACCAAGAAGTGTTTAGAGAAGCTTGGGGCCAGGGAGGGTGTGACCCTGTGGGAGACCAGGAAGGAACACCATGGACAAGGAACAGCTGTGCTCTTCTGGAACGCGTGCTCTGTCTACAAGAATTCTACATCAGTGTGACCAGTAGATAAACTCCTTTTCCTGCGAGCCTTCTCAGAGCCTTGAATCTGTCAGGCATGCAACAGGGAGCTGGAAAAAGCCACTTCTGACCACAGAATCTGTTTTCTAGGAAACACCTGGAGGTCCAGGCATCCAGGGCACCTCTATGCTGGCTGTTTACACACAGCCTTATAGAGATGCCTCCTCCCTCCTGGCTTCGCCAGATGGAAGAGGAGGAGGTGCCCCATTCCCCATGCCAGCCAGAGACAGTGCTGCCTGGGGTCAAGGATCCTGGGGTTTGCGCCCTGGCTCACCGCTTCTTACTGTGTAGTCTTCGGCGAGTCCATCGACTTCTGGGGCCTCAGTTTCCCCTCCCTAGTGTCTCGCTTCCATCAGGGCCGCTGTGCGTGTTAAATGACAGGTGCAGGTGAGGCCTGGCACTTCCGGCTGCTCACCAGAGGCCCAGGTTCCATCTCGCGGCTCTTTACTGGTGTTTTTCTCGCCCAGCTTCAGGGACCTTTTGTGCCGCTCAGTCGGCCCCGCTTCACGGCGAGCACAGCTCTGAGCTCTGTGGCCCGCACCTGCCTGCCCTTGAGCTTTCCTTCTGTGGACTCGCCCAGCCCCTCTTCTGTGCCCAGCTTCTGCTCAGCACTGGGTCGGTGGTGACCTTCATTGGTGTTGTTGGGTGTGACTGTTTGTTCTCTTTGGCTGTCACTGTGTGGACCCCAGATTTCCTTCTCTGCACTAGTCTGTGGTCACATCACATCGCTGTCCTCTGTCCTCCCTTTAGGTCTCCACTCCTGGCCAGGAGACAGCTGCCCACCTCTGAGACCCATCTCGTGCCTGCTGTCTGCGGCTGCTTCCCAGGGCCGGGAGCCGGGCTTCAGGAAAACAGCTCCGCATTGAGGACAGCGCCTCAGGAGAGCCACGTGGCAGCACTGGGTCCCCACCCACCAGCCAGAGCAAGGAGCTGACAGGGGGCCCCCTACCCGGCCCCAGGTGGCATGGACTGGCAGTCCTGAGCAGCCAGAGCGGATGCCCGGCCCCCAGGGGGGCGGAGCCCCCACCATGAGCCTGGGCAAGCTGTCACCCATGGGCTGGGTGTCCAGCTCCCAGGGGAAGAGGCGACTGACTGCAGACATGATCAGCCCCCCACTCGGCGACTTCCGCCACACCATGCACGTGGGGCGCGGTGGGGACGTCTTTGGGGACACCTCCTTCCTCAGCAACCATGGTGGGAGCTCCGGAGGCACCCACCGCTCACCTCGCAGCTTCCTGGCCAGGAAACTGCAGCAGGTGCGGAGGGTCCGAGTCCCGGCCAGGAGGATGGCCTCGCCCCCTGCCCCGTCGCCGGCTCCCCCCGCCATCTCGCCCATCATCAAGAACGCCATCTCCCTGCCCCAGCTCAACCAGGCCGCCTACGACAGCCTGGTGGTGGGCAAGCTCAGCCTGGACAGCAGCCCCGCCAGCTCTGTGGATGGACGCTCGGCTTACGGTGAGCGCCCGGGTCATTGTCCATTGCCCGACGCGGAGGCTGGGCCCACAGGGCTCCTGGGCTCTCCTAGTCTCCTTTCCCCTTGGTGGCTTGGTGTTACCCTGAAGGTCTGGCCCAAGGGCCGAGCCATGAACTGGGACAAGTAGGGAGATAAGACCCCAAAACACACTGAGGCTAAGACCAGGCAGGTGACATTTGAGTTCCAGCTACCCCTAACCCACTGTGTGTCTCAGAGAAGCCCTTCCCTGTCCTTGGGAGGGCCTAGGGGACCAGCGCACCCCTCTTTTACCCCCTGAAACAAGCAGCACTGGACAGTTGGCTTCCAGCCTGGTTCTGCCCAGTTCCCAGCAAACCCCCAACCTCTGCAAGCTCAAGCCTTGCCCTGTATTGAATTCTTTTTTTTTTCTATTATTACTGTTATTATGCTAACATCCATTGAAATCAGCCATGTGCCCAGCAAGGCCCAGAGTCTGACACCCAGCAGGTGCTTCAGACACAGGAGCTGTTGCTGCTGTGGAGTGGAAGACCCCACACCCTAACAAATTAGTAACACCACTGGCCAGCTATGCCAGCTGGGCACAGCAGGACCCTCTCCTGGGAACAATGAGCCTCTGCTGCCCCCTGGTGGCTGGGTCCTGTCATACGGTTTTGCCCCACTGGGCTCCTGATGGGGGGCTGCGGGGAACCCTGACCCAGGGTAACCAGTCCCATCTCAGGCCAGTTGTCCTGACCTGATGGCTGCGGAGGGCACATGCCTGTCCTTGGAGCCAGACCTTGGCCGCTGCTTTCATCCTGTGTCTGAGACTTGATTTCTGCTTTCAAAATGGGGGTGAGGAACATGACCACCTTGGGCTTCAGGGATCACACGGACAGTATGGGCAGGATGGGCAGGATGGAAGAAACTCAGGCCAGAGAGGGTAGGGACTGGCCAGAGGCCACAGAGCAGCCAGGCTCCGTCCTGGTGAGGGACCCCAGCTCTGACCCACACCCTATTTATTTTCTAGGCCTGGACTCTGGGTTCTGCACCATCGCCCGCCTGCCGCGCCTGGAAAAGCCCAGCGAGCAGGACCCAGAGCCATCCTTCCCCTGTGAGCCGCAGCTGCGCCGCTCTGACTCTCTCTTGTCCTTCCGCCTTGACCTTGACCTCGGGCCTTCGCTCCTCAGCGAGATGCTGGGGGTCATGAGCCTCTCAGAAGCCCCTGCATCTGAGACCCCGGCCCCCGCTGCCAATCCCCTGACTGCTTCCACGAACCCCTCGGCCCCTGCTGCAAATCCCTCTGCCCCTTCTGCAAACTCCCAGGCCCGTGCTGCTCGGCCCCCACCCCATGGACATTTCCCCAATGGGATGACTGCTGGGTTGGGCCCAGGAGCTGAGGTGAGGGCCGGCCTGGTGGGAGAGGGGCCCGGGGCACCGGCTGATGGCAGGCACTGGGGGGCCAGCCGGGGTGGAGCCCAGGGCATCCGCCACTACTTGGAGGTAGATGCCCAGCGGGAGCCCACGGAGGTGCCGCTCCAGGCCCAGGGCTCCTGGGAGAGCCTGGAGGAAGAGTGGAGGGCACCCCAGGCAGGCAGCAGGGCCCCTGTGCCCAGCTCAGTGCAGGCCAACACCTTCGAGCTCGCAGATGCTGAGGATGATGAGGTGAAGGTGTGAGGGCAGGCTCAGGACCCGCCAGGTGACAGATGGGGGCGGCCAAGTGTCCCCAAAGCTTGCTCCTCTGCTGCAGGGAAGACCCGGGAGGGAAGATGGGGACGCTGTCCCGGGCCCAGTGGCCCGCCTGACTCTGGGCTCCATCCATGCCACCCCCACAGGCTGGAGGGCGCCTCAGTGTGGCCTTTGTGCCCAGGGAAGCTGCCCTTGGGGTGGGGGTGGGGACCTGACCACACAAGGCCATTGTCTTCTCTTCCAGTCCAGTGCCTGCCCCCAGCTCCTTCAGGGCTCCCCCCATGTCCCTGAGCCCCGCCCAAGCTGTCTCCCCAGCACTTTCTCTCATGTTCCCCAAGTCTCACAGAAAGGTCAGCTGGGACCCTCCTGTGTCACCAGACCTGCTGCTGGGGCTTGATTAAAGGCTTTTTTTTTTTGGATAAAAGTTGTCCTGTTAGAACCTTGGGGATCCGGGAGAGCGGCTTAGCCCCCTGCTGAGATGCCTGCCCTGGTGGGGTTTGCAAAGTGCTCAGCCCCAGCGGGGAGGCTGGGCAGGTACTGAGTAACCTGGCTGGAATGCCTGCCTGAGATAAGGGCCAGGTGAGAGCCTTATCTGTGGTTTCTGGAACAGCCTCTGCCCCGGGTGCCTGGAACCAGGGCACCCCACAACCCACCAGGGCAGTTTGGCATTTGCTTTGTCAATAAGGAGGAGATAGGGGTGCACACTCGGGACCAGTCTGGGAGCTGGCAGGACAATGAATTTGTGCCTCAGAACTCTTTGTATCATTAAAATGCATGGAAGACAATGATGGCCACCAGAGACTATAAAGGTACAAGGTTTGTTTGCTTTGACTTTGGAGAAGGGAAATGGGGCCAGAAGGGCAGGAAGTGCTGACGGAGGGCTGGGGTTCTGGGGGATCTGCAGGCTGGGGACTCCGCTCACTTCAACTTGAAGGCAGAGATGTGGAGGCCCCGCACACTGAGGTAGCTCAGGTGGCTGTGGTCCAGCCTGTTGGGAAAGGTCAGCTGGTATCCATCTGGCAGCGTCACCTTGAATTCCTCACTCTGAAAGGTCACGGTGAACTGCAGTGGGCACAGAGGTGTCAGCAAGGCGGGAGGAGCCCAGGGAGTGGGCTAGACTCCGTGCCTGGCACATCCCCCCAGGGCCCAGGGACTCCCTGTGCCGCCCTGTGCATCCTCCCCCTGACCTCACCTTGACGTCTGCCCCCTGGCTGAAGCACATGTGATCATCGCGGTGCTCTTGTCCCCAACAGCCAGCTTCCTTTGAGTTGCAGACAATGACGGATTCGTTGAAGCGGGGGTTAAAGTGCAGGCTCAGCTCATCTGGCCCCCGCCCCAGGTTAATCGCAAAGCTGCCGAGAAAGGTTCACAGGTGAGGTTTAGGGGCAGCCCTGGGGAGACAGCGGGGGGGGGGTCAGAGGGCTTTGGCTGACCGTGAGCCGGAAAAATCACCAAAAAGAGATTTTAGTTGCAATCTGTGCTCAACACAAGGGAGATGACAGTCACTCAGACTTGGCACTGCAGTGGCACATTCCATTTGGAGCAAAGGCCATGGGCTGCTAACAGTTTACCAATGGTGATAGCTTCAAAAATCAGAGATGTCTGCCCTGGGGGACAGAATCACTCCTTAGGTATCCGAAGACCTAAGGTGGTGAGCTCCCTGTCACTAGAGGTATGCAACTGTGTGACTTCTCTGCAGGATCACTCCCTTCAGGGTCTCTGAGAGAGAAGGGCACAGTATGGATTATGAGGTTCCTTCCCCCGGGGGGAGGGGGTGCTCGAACCCAGGGTATCCTCCGTGTGGGACCCAGGCGGGAGAAAGGAGCTGTTCTCAGCCTGCTCCATGTGTCTGCCTGCTCCCTTCCTGACCCAAGGTGGGCAGAGATCAGGCCCAAGAAAGGCTGAGAACGTCCGTGCTTGAGAGGGCCGAGCGCTGGGGTTTCTAACAGGGGCAGAGGCGGAGATGACCCCGAGGTGGCCCGTGGTTGAACTCACAGGGTTAAGAGGGGGTGTCCCTTGGGGGTTCGGGCTTTCAGCAGATGATCCGAGCACGTGAGCAAGGCTGTCAGAAAGAGCCCTGGTCTCGGGGCCACTCAGGGCTGGCTGTCACAGGTCGGTCTGCGCGCCCCGCCCAGGCCCTGCGCCCCACCCCCACCCATCCACCTCACCTATCGACGTTGTCCTGGATCTGGCCCTTGAGCTTCAGGGTTTCTCCCAGCTTCATCTCCATGTTCGAGATCTCAAAACTCACCTGCGCCATCGGAGAGGGAACAACACACTGGAGGGGCTGCGGGAAACCCAGCATGCACGCACCAGCGGACTTCCACTGGTGACACCAGACGTGGTCCCCCTGCCCTTGGGAGGGCGCCCAGCTGCACGGGAGGAGTGGGGTCCTGTCTGCCCTCAGTCCTGCTGTCATCTGGCCTACAGAACAGCTGGGTGTGGAGGGACAGGGCCCAGCAGGGAACCTCAGTGTAGTCATCTGTGGAAGGGGTGGAGTGGCCCCTACAGCCTCACAGTTCCCCAAAACGTTCAAAACCATGCAGATTGGCCACCCTTGGAACTGGCACCCTAACATAAGGCAGAAAATGAGCGTAAGGGAGGCAAAGCCTCCAGGTTGAACCCGCCCGCCAGTCTCTTTCCGGAGCCCACTGTAAATTATGCTGGTTGGGTCTATTCACTCACTTAAAAGTCGCTGGGCTAGAGTGCTGCCCAGTGGTAGAGTGCTTGCCTGGGTTTCCTCCTCAGTGCCCCCCAAAACAGGCTGCTGAGTGGGTCAAGGCAAATGTGGGACCCGTGTAGTTACGGTCACTTGTCTCACTTAGCGGCCTGCCCCGGCTTTCCCCTGGGGCCTGGGCAGCACCTGGGTTTCCAGGAGGTCTCCCGAGCTGGGCTCCCAAGGCTCCTTCCTTGCGCTAGGCTGGGGATCTTTCACCTCCCTGGCTGGAGGGCCGTGGGAGGGGCTGAACAGGACCACTGGACACCAAAGACAGAAGCCAGGGGAGCCCTTCTGCGCTGGGGGGTTCCGCTCATCCGCCTGTTTGGGGGTTGGGTTTAGTTTTGGAGAAGGCACTGTTTCTGAAGCCTTGAACCAGCTCCCGCTCAGACTGGGGTGCTTTGCCACCCACAGTCAAGGTACAACCCACAGGTGGGCGAGGCTGGCCTGTGACCCTGCCCAGCGCTCCAGGAGCAGTGTTTCTGAAAGAGGTCCTAGCCTAGTGTGGTGATGCACCCCTGAGATCCCAGCACTCGGAAGGCTGAGGCAGGAGGATCCCTGTAAATTCAAGGTCAGCCTGGCCTAACACAGCGAATTCGAGGCCAGTCTGAACTACACAGTAAGAGACTGTCTCAAAAACAAATGAAAAAAATAAATAAAATACAAATAAAAGGAGGTCCTGAAAAACAAAACGATCAGCCCAGGAGCCTGGGGCTGTTCTGGTACCATATCAGACACAATGACACCTAGAGCAGGGGTCACCAGCCCAGTCTCATTGGGGCCTGGATAATTTTTTTTTTTTAACCAGTACCAGGGATCTAACTCAAGACCTCGCGCTTGCAAGGCAGGCACTTATGCCACTGAGCTAAATCCCCAGCCCCTTGGATAATTCTCTTTCAGGCTGCCCTGTGCTCTGGGGGCTGGCGAGCAATGGCCCTGGGCTCTGCCCACAAGATGCCAGCAGCACCCTTGACCCAACCCAAAATGGATGTGGCCAAGTGTTCCCGAGGACAAAATGGCCTTGAGGACAATGGCCCTGGGGCAGAGGCCTGACCCTCAGATCTGTGCTTGGCAGCAGCTTTCCCTCCCTCCCACAGGTTTTGGAGCCGCAGACCAGACTGAAATTCTCCTTCAGGGGCCGGGGGATGTAGCTCAACGGCCCAAGCACCTGCCTGGCAAGCACAAGGTCCTGAGTTCGATCCCTGGGACCATAAATTCTTCAGCGCAGACTGGCAGACATGGAGTGGCTCTTGGGAGAGGAGTTTCTCCCGGGAGGACAGTCACTGTCCCTCCCAGGGGGACGAGGACCAAAAGCCTGCCTGCACATGTGTCTGAGCTGCCCTCATGTGCAGGCACTGTCCTCAGGGCTTCCCGGCGGGAGGCAGGTCAGAGTCAGCAGTCCGCTGAGACCTGTGGGCCTGTGCGGCCCGAGCCTGCTGTCACCACTCAGCAATGTCTGAGGTCCAGGGAGGGACAGAAGCAGAGCAAGACAGGGCAGTTCACAGCCTTGCTTGTAGGCTGGGGGTCAATCCCAGCTCTCCCTCTCAGTGGCTAAGTGACCTGGGGCCACCTCCTCCTCTCTGGGCCTGGTCCCCATCTGTGCTAAAAAGGTCTTGCTGTGTAGCACAAGATGGCCTTGAACTTGCTTATACAGCCCAGGCTGGCCTCAGACTCGCAGAGATCTTCCTGCCTCAGCCTCCTGAGTACTGGGATTACAGGAATGTGCTACCACGCCTGGCCCCAGAAGACCCGCTGTGAGGAACTTCTTTGCCAGCTGTGTTGGCTTGGAAAATGTCCCCCTAAAAGTCTTTCCCACCCAAAACCTGCAAATGCGACCTATTTGAAAGCCACAGATGTAGTCAAGACGGTGTGGTACTAACTGTAACTCCAGATGGGCCCTAAATCCACCACAACTGGTGTCCTCATAAAACAAGGAAGGCCTACACCTGTAATCCAGCACTCAGGAGGCTGAGGCAGGAGGAACACCTCGAATTCAAGGCCAGGCTGGGCTACATCGAGAGTCTATCTCAAAAACCAAAAATAGAGAGAGGGAAATCCAGACAAAGAGGAGAGGCCATGTGAAGAGGGAGAGCCTTGAGTGACACAGCTATAAACCAGGGGACACCAAGGGACACCAGGGATTGGCTGTGACTAGCGGCCCCGCCCACACCTTCCTCCTGTGAGGGACCAGCTAGCTGCCAGCTCCTGCTTGGTGGATGCAGCCCGGCAGCCCTTGGGGATGGAGGAACACCATCTTTTCAGAGGATGCTTTGGATTCCAGTCCATAGATCAGAGAGGGGCAGCAACTTGCCCTCAGTCACACAGCAAGCCGTGGCGGCCCGAGATAGAAATCAATGAGGAACCTTTGAGAGGGTCCTCCGGAGCCCCTGGCAATCTGCAGGTCTGACCTCGGGCAACTCAGGCTCTGGGCCTCGGTTTTTTTCCTCTTCCTTCTTTTTTTTTTGTGCTGGGGATGGAATCCAGGGCCTGTGCACAGTAAGACCCAACTTCTGAGCCTCCATTTCTCCCTCCGTAGCAGGCTCAACTGATGTGAGCCATCATCAGCATCATTACAGCTGCTGCTGTTCCTACCAATGGGGAAACTGGGGCCAGATCGGAGGAGGCCAGGAGTAAGGCCCAGGACTTGGCAGAAGGGTGGAAGCCGGGAGCCCAGCGCTGAAGGATTGTGTCTCGAGGGCTCCTCGCTGCACAGAGGGGGAAACTGAGGCCCAGAGAGGAGCAGCACCCTACCCCACCCCAGCCAGGCAGAGGCAGAGGGAGCGGGGAGGTGGCCTCGGCTCGCTTACCGACATGGTGGCGTTCTCGGCTCTCAGGCCTGCTCAGGGTTCCAGCTCCTGGTCAGCTAAAATCAGGGTATTACTCATTAACTCCGCAGGCCAGATATAAGCACTCTGGCCCTGGAACCCGCACAGACAAACTGAACGGACTGGATTCCTCTCCTGAGCCCCGCCCACTCCGCAGATCCTCCACTCCCCTAAGCCCCTCAGCAGCAGCGCCCCGCCTCCCACAGCCCCCCGGGGCCGGGCGGCCACCACCCTTTCCTCCCATCAGCCCCCGGTCAACCACAGAGATCCGCTCTGTAAAGATGTCCACCTGGCAAGCGCAAGGTCCTGAGTTTGATTCCCAGTGCAAAAAAAAAAAAAAAAGGCTACCTCCTTATTTTCTCTAATGTTCTCAGTCATGCTGAAGAATCTCTTCTTTCTCCTTCCACGGCATTGTTTTTGTGATTGTATCTGTAAATTTTAAAGACCATATAGAGGAGCCAAGCCTGGTGGCACACACCTATAATCTCAGCACTGGGAAGGCTGAGGCAGGAGGATCCCTGAGATCGAGGCCAACCTAGACTACATAGTTTTGGTCTCCCGAATTGCATATAGAAACTGTATCTATCTATCTACCGATCTATCTATATGGTAGCTTTTTCTTCTTTCAATTCGATTTCATTGGTACTTTTTTTTGTCTTTTTGAGACAGGGTCTCGCTGTGCAGTTCAGGCTGGATTTGAGCTCACTTTGCAGCCCAGATTGTTCTCAAACTTGCACCAATCCTCAGCCTCCTGAGGGATTACAGGTGTGCGCCCCATGCTGGACTTGCTGGTACATTTTAGATATACCTCATGATCACACGCATCATAGAGAGGTGGTCCCTGTGTGTGACGTATCCCCATTCTTTTTCCGTTCCCCTCCTGTCCCTTCACCCCCTTCTTTCTCTTTCCATTTACAAAAGCTTTGTTTCCTTCTTTTCTCATTTCTTTAACTTCTTTTTTTTTTTTTTTTTTTTGTACCAGGGATCGAACTCACGACCTCACGCTTGCCAGGTAGGCACTTATGCCACTGAGCTAAACCCCCAGCCCCATATTTTTAAATTTTTCCCTTCTTTTTTCCCCCCTGCCCTCTCTTTTGTTCCCCTTTCCCACTTGAACATTTTCTTCCTCTTTCACAATACCTAATATACATTCTGGTCTTTATTCACACTTCCGTTTTTTCATACCAGCGAAACAATGCAGTATTAAACGTGTGTGTCCGATTTATCTCACTTGAGCGTATAGCAAATTTTAAGAAAATGTTTAGAAGTATCTAAGACCATTAAAAGTGAAGAAGCCAGGCGTGGTGGCACATGCCTATAATTCCAGCACTCAAGAGGCTGAGGCAGGACAATCCTCAGGAGTTCAAGGTCCGCCTGAACTACATAGCAAGACCCTGTCTCGAGAACAAAACAAAAGAATATACGTCAAAAGTGAAGAAGAAGCCAAGTCTGATGGCACACGCCTGTTATGCCAGCACTAGAGAGGCTGAGGCAGGAGGATCCATGTGAGTTCATAGTTAGACTGAACAGAGAGGGAGAGAGCTGTGAGGGGGGCTTGGGGGCTTAAAATGCTTTGTTTGATTTTTTTTTTTTTTTTGAGGCAGGCCTTGCTATGGACTTCACTATGTAATCCAGTCCGGCCTTGGACTCCTGGTGATCCTCCTGCCTCAGCCTCCCAAATTTTGGAATGACAGGCATGTGCTGCCACACCCAGCATTCCTTGAGTCCTAATGCTTGTATAATTAACATGCTGACATGTTGACCGTAGACAGGTAGAGACGGGGAAGCAATCCTTCATTTTCCTACGCCAGGCGAGCACAGCCCTGCTGTGTATATTGGCACACTACTCCTGGTGGTTTTCTATGAATTTAGGCAATAGACATCTCTCCGTCTTTTTCTTTTCTTTTTTTTTTTTTTTTTTTTTTTTTTTTTGTCTTTTTGAGACGGGGTCTTGCTGTGCAGTTCAGGCTGGCCTTGAGCTCACTTTGTAGCCCAGGCTGGTCTCGAACTCTCAAGGACCCTCCCGCCTCAGCCTCCCGAGTGCTGGAATTACAGATGTGAGCCACCACGCCCAACATCTCTCCATCTTTAATTGCTTATTTTGCTTCATTGAAGAAACAGTAAGGCCCACAATCTATACTTCAGAGCTACATTTCAATGGCTGTGAAATAGTCCACCTCCCGGTGGCTAAATCTAACTGAGCCAATTTCCTGCTGCTGAATGCTTACATTAATTCTAAATTTTCACTATTAAGCACACTGCTGCCCTAAATGTCTTTGCCCAGAAGTCTGATCGAATCCTGGTGGTTTATGTGGGGCAGATTCCCAGCAGGAGAACTTCCGGGGCATGCCCTGGGTTTGGCTGGCCGCCAGGCTTCCCATCAGGGTCAGGGTACAGGACACTCCGGGCAGGGTGCAGGGCAGCTAACCCTGCTGAGGGTTCCCAGGTGCCAGGGCTGGGGGTGGCTCGCTGCCCAGTGCTCACACGGAGCACTGCCTTTATAACCTGGCAACCCCAAGAAAAGAGTGGTTTCCTTATTTTACCCACAAGGAAATGAACCTTTTCACGGCCTTTCTCCCAGAGCAGGGCAAAGATAAGGATTTTGCAAGGCTTTCGCAACAGAAACTCCGCTGGACCGAAACTGCAGCTTTCAAGGTGGTATTTTTTAAATTATATTTGCAATACCAGCTCATCAAAAGGTTTTGGATGTAATCCCAGCACTTGGGGGGCTGAGGCAGGAAAACTGCCATGAGTTGGAGGTCAGCCTGGGCTCTGTAGAGAGTTCAAGGCCAGCATGAGCTGCACAGCAAGACCCTGTCTCAAAAAGAAAAGAGGTTTTAGAACCAGGCATGGTGGTGCAGTCCTATAATCCCAGCACTTGGGAGGCTGAGGCAGGAGGATTATCCCAAGTTCAAGACCAGCCTGGGCTACAAAGTGAGCTCAAGGCCAGTCTGAACTGCATAGCAAGAGCCTGTCTCAAAAAGAAAAGAAAAGAAAAGAAAGGAAAAGAGGTTTTGCAAAGTGGACCAAGTAAAAGGGATTTAGCTCATTTTCTGGAAAAGAGTATTTTGTTGTTGTTACTGGCGTTGTTGTTGAGACACTAAATTGCACAGGTTGATCTCAGACTTGCAGCGATGCTCCTGCCTCAGCCTCCTACGTGCTGGGAAGGCAGGTGTGCAGCTCCACGCCTGACCTGAAAAGGGGAAGTGGGAACAAGACCTTGTTTGTGATTGGTGTGCTTTTCTGCATGTATATTTCACAACAATGAAAGATTTGTTTAAAAGGAAAAAACATCACACTCCCTTACTTGCAGTCCGGGCCTTATCCTCCAAACAGGCCACTCTCAAAGGCCACTGTCCCTTCCTCCACCTGGTCATCCAAGGCTCAAATTCTCGCCGCAGGCTTCACGCACATCCCATTTGTCAAATGAGAACCGAGGATCCCAGGACTTAGCTTGATCCCTGATACTGAAAAAAAAGGTTTTCCTCGACCTAAAAGTCTCTTTTGTCCTCCTTTTTTAAGAAACCAAGGCCCTGGGATGTCCTGGGCCCAGGGCATCCCGCACTGAGCGCCCTGGAGAAGCGGGGAACCCTCGCCCACCAGCTGTCTGCCGTTGGGGACTTTGGTCCCGCAGTGCCCGGGATCCTGGCCAGTCTCACTTGGCCCTTCTCCTTCTCCACCCAGAGAGCAAACAGACTCACGGCTCCCTAACGGCTCCTTCCAAGGTTACAGAGGGAGCAACCACCAGGCTCCGGCAGCGCAGGTCTCGAAATGAACGAATGTCAGGCCCCAGCTGTGGAGCGGCCCTGGCAGGTGGCTCAGAGCTTCAGTGTAGGAACCAAAGGCATTTGCTTCCTAAACGGGCTATGAGGATTTTAAAACATTTTCCTTTTTACAATTTAACAAATTAACGTTGGTGGAACCTTGAAGCGCATAACAGATTCTCCAAGAAATGCCAGTCTCAGGTGTGGCATCCTACACCTGTAATCCCAGCACTTCAGAAGCTGAGGCAGGAGGATTGCCATAAGTTTGAGGCCCGTGTTACAAAGTGAGTTTAAAGCTAGCATGAACAATGAGACTCCATCTCAAAAAAAAATTTAGCCAGGCGCCTATAATCCCAGCACTCGGGAGGCTGAGGCAGGAGGATCATTTTGAGTTCAAGATCAGCCTAGGCTACAAAGTGAGCTCAAGGCCAGCTTGAACTGCACAGCAAGACCCCAAAAAGACAAAAAAAAAAAAAATTTTTTTTTTGTAAGGGGACTGTCTGCCTTGCTCCCAGGGAGAATGCATGAATGGTCCACGTTTCAGGTGTCCAGGTGAGCAGCAGGGAGACACTGTCCCTGAGAATGAGAGGTAACTAGGCAGGACAGGACATGTGTTGGGCATCCCATGTTCTGGCTGGTGAGCACATTCTGGTGCCCCTGGAAGCCCTGCCACAGCTGTGTGACCCTCGGTGAGTCACTTCATCTCCCTGGGCTTCATGATGTCCTTCTGTAGTGTGGGCATACCACGGTGACACCTCCCAGGGTAGCAGTGGCCCTAAAGGACAAGGTATGGGAGGTCTAAGGACAGGACCACCCGTGTCCTCATGGACTGCTGGACTCCGGGGCTGCCCAGGGAGATATGCAGTCTGTACCCTGCCCCTCCAGCTCTGTCCACTGGGAGGCTTTGGGGTGGCTTAACTGTGTACCCTAAAAGGTTGAGTATCAGGAATTTCACCCCAGGCGTGTGTGTGGATGATTTGGAAGACAGAGCCCTCGGAGCCTTGGAGGATTAGATGGGTCATGAGGGTGCAGCCTGAGAGATCTGAGCTCGCTCCCCCTGGCTGTGCGGGGTCCTCTGCAGAGTCACAACACAGCAGGAAGCCTCATGCCAGGTGCTGGCACCTCATTCCCACCTCCCGAGCCAGGAGGCAAGCAAACCCCCCTGGCCTGGCAGTTTTGTGGTAGTCACAGAAACTGGATTAAGGCAGAGCTGTGCCTCAGTGACCCAGAGACCAGCCTTGCTTTACCCAGTTGCATTCGGTGGCCTTGTGACACCCTTGCTTCTGGCTGCACCTGGTCACCTCCCCAGTGTCCCTGGAGCCCTTAGAGCCCCTGGGTCACCTCACCTCACCCAAAATCAAGGTTGGCCATCAGGAGGGAAGAAAGGAATTTGGAGTCGGGAGAAGGGACTGGGCCACAGCCATCCACCTTGTCCCCTTCTCTGGTTCTGTCGCCAGTCATTATCCATTAGGATTTTTGTGAATTGCAAATGGTCAGGGAGGCTGAGACAGGAGGGTCCCTGCCAGTCCAAGGTGAGCCTGGGCCCCATAATGGGTTTCAGCCCAGCCTGGGCTACCTTGTGTAAGATCCTGTCTCAAAAACAAAAACCAAACATGCACCTGATGGCACGCAGCTCTGCTGCTGTGAATCCTCCAGCGCCTTCTCATGGCAGAACAGAATCCATGCACCCCACTTAGCTGGTGAGGCGTGCACCCGCGTGTCCCCTTCATCTCATCTCTCTCCACAGCCCCTCTGGCCACACTGATTTGGGTTCCTTGAACTCACCAAGCACATCTCTGTCCTTGCTGTTCCCTCCCCCTGGGAGCTCCTCCTCCGTATTGGCTGGATTGAACTCACCGTGTGGAGCTCAACTCACACCTGCACAGACTGGGTGCTGGGGCGGTGGATAGATGGATGGATGGATGGATGAATGGACAGATAGATCAATGAATAAATGGCTAAATAAGTGGATGGATGAGATAGATGGATTATGGGTGGATGGATGCATGAATGGATGGATGGATGGATGGATAAATGAATGGGTGGATGGATGGATAGATGGACAGCTGAGTAAGTGGATGGAAGGATAGGTGGATGGATGGGTGGGTGAATGGAAGGGCAAATGAATGGATGGATGAGTGGGTGAGTGGATGGATGGAGGGAGGGAAGGCGGGACAGGTAGACACAAGGATGCTAATGTGAATGGGTGGCTGGGTGGCAGTTAAATGGTGTATCACAGCAGACAGCACGTATCATCTATCTCATAGAGCTCAGAGGCTATTTTTAAGGTTCCAGTGTGGTGATACATGGCCCCTCCTTCCAAGCCCTTCACCTGGCATATTTTCCGGCTCTTTTGGACCAGGCAGCCCTTTCTCAGGGCCACAGCTGCCCAAGCACACAAGAAGAGACCCCAGCGCTCTGCGTCCTGCTTCCTCCAGGTAGCCAGGGGCGCACTTTCCACGCTTGTCTGTTTAGAAACTAAATAAACCAGCCAGGATGCTGCTATTGCTTACCTGGGTGGACCCTGGTCCTGGGCCTAGCTCCTCCTCCCTGGCCAGCCCGCCCAATTTTCCTGTGGACAATGGAGTCTTTGACACATTTTCCCCCATTGCTGAGGATCAAACCCCAGGGCCTTGCACATGCTAAACTCGGGCTCCACCCCTGAGCAACACCCTCTGTGCAATTTATTGATTTGTGTATTTAAAGACAGCTCCTCACTGAGTTGTCCAGGTTGACCTCAAACTAAAGGTCTTCCTGCCTCAGCCTGCCAAGTAGGTGGGATTCCAGGTGTGCCCCACAGTGCCTGGCTCATCTACAGCTTGACTCCCCAGTCCCAGCTGGAGTGGTAGGTATGGGTATCCAGGAGAAAAAGAACCACACCTGGATTACAGCCCATACCTGCATCCCTACCTCCACACTTGACAAGTGCAGGGGCAGGGCCTTGTCCCCTGCAGATGGGCAATCTTAGAGTCCAGAGGAGAGGCGAGTTTCCTGCCCTGCTGGGTACAGTAGCCTCTGGTCATCTCTGAGGCCCTGAGGCCATGGACAAGTTTTCTCTTCATGGAAAAGGTCTCTCCTGATCTCTGGCCCTGGGGACAGTCCCTGGCTCACACTGGGCCTTGGTCACTCCCACTCCCAATGCGTGGCATATGATTGAGGGTTATTAAGCCTCACTGAATGGATGGGGAGACTGAGGCTCAGAGAGTAAGAGTGATTGGCTGGGGTTTTAGGACAATAAAAGCAGAACACCTGTCCCCATCGGCCTCCAGGGTCTGAGCCAGGGGTCCAGAAAGAGCCCCCATCCTAGGCAGCTGCAGGAGGAGGAGGTCGCGTCCCCTCCCCCATCCAACTGGAGCCAGAGTTGGGACCCCTCTTTCTGCCTGAACACGAGCATCCTGGGTGTCTTGCCACCCACAGGTAGCATTTATCAGCCCCTCTGGCACACAGGGCCAGCAGGACGGTGACAGAGGATGGCACTTCGAGACACTCGGTCTCAGTCACAGTCCTGGACCAACAGTAACTCCATCAGCCCCAGGCTGGGCCATCAGCAGATCCAAATCTGTGGGACCCAGGCCTGTTGGGAAATGCACATTGCTGTGGCTGACCCTGCTTTCCACACGGAGGGGCAGGGCCTGGACCCCACCCACAAGTCAAATCCACATTCAGAGAGCCAGCAGCCAGAGCACAGCACCCCGCTGGGGCCACAGAGGCCCAGGCTCCGGATGTGGTGTGGGGGAGACCAGGGGGAGGGCACCCACAACTGCCGCTGGCTCTGGAGCCCGGTTCAGGCCCTGGGCTCACGTCCTGACTGCCTCTTACCGGCTGTGTGACCTTGGGCAGATTGCATCATAATAAAGATCTGTTTCACAAGATCGCCATGGGCATAATGGGCTGGACATCAGAGGCTGGTGCATGGCAGGCGCTCAACTGTCGCTACTCTATTGTTCACAGCCAAGGGCCAGCACTGCCTGACGTCTTCCAGGCACTGGCCCTTTGCAAGGCCCTGCCCAGATCATCAGGTGACTGCCAACTGCTCAGCCGGGCCTCACACAGAGTTGGCACTCGGTTCCCTGCGCTGCCCACAGCATGGCCCCAGCCCGATGGCCCTGGGGCTACAGCAGGAAGGGTCCGGCACTGTCACCGCCAGCTCAATGTGGGAGGGGGGTGTCCCTGGGTCTCAGCCTCCTCCCCATCACCTTCTACCCTCCCCCTCTCCCATGGGCTGGGGTCTCCCTAGCCTGTCCTTGTCCCCTGCACAGCTCTGGTCCCTGCCCCTCCCTCCACTCCTCAGTCCGGTCCTCAGCCCTGCCAGGTTCTTCTTGCCAAGAGGAAGAGGTGGCCTCACCTGGTCACCTGCATCTACTTCCTGCCAGACAGTTGACGCCTGTTTGGTTTTTAAAATCAAAGTCTGTGGAGGAGAAGGGAAGAGAAAATGTAAAGAATTACGATGTTTTCTGTACGCCCACCGACCCCCACCGTGTCTGTAATGCAAACCTGCGCTACTAAAAGTTAGACATTTATTAGGATCAGGATTTCTACCCTTGCACCACGTTGCTGGGAGGAATGTACAGCCGTATGGCAGTGTGGGAAAGCTTGGAGGCTTCTCCAAAAGCTAAATCCAGCCGGGCGTGGTGGTGCAGGTTTGTAATCCCAAATACACGGGAGGCTGAGGTAGGAGGACCACCATGAGTTCAAGGCCAACCTGGGGCTATACAGAAAAACCTGGGCTCTGTTTCAGAAAAAAAAAAAAATGCTGAATCTGGAGGGGCTGGGACAGAGCTCAGGAAGATCACTTGATCAGATGGGTAAGGCCCTGGGTTCCACCCTTGGCACCAAAAAACAGCAAACAAAAGACCTAAATACAGAATTATTCTTTAGCCTAGAAATTCTACTCCCAAGTATCTACCTGCAGGGGTTGAAAGAGGGTTTGGAATGGATACTCATCACCAGTATTCATAAGCAACATTATTCTCAAGAGACAGAAGGTGGGAGGACCCAAAGTGTCTATTGATAGACAAACAAAACGTAGTACCTCCAGGCAGGGCATGGTG